TGTCCAGAAAGTAGGCATAGAGGGAAGTTACCTCAACATAATAAAGGCCATATATGACAAACCCACAGCCAACATCATTCTCAAAAGTGAAAAACTGAAACCATTTCCACTAAGATCAGGAACAAGACAAGGTTGCCCACTCTCACTGCTATTATTCAACACAGTTTTGGGAGTTTTAGCCACAGCAAATAGAGAAGAAAAAGAAATAAGGAATCCAATTTGGAAAAGAAGAAGTAAAAGTGCAACTGTTTGCAGATGACATGATACTATACATAGAGAATCCTAAAGATGCTACCAGAAAACTACTAGAGCTAACCAATGAATTTGGTAAAGCAGCAGGATACAAAATTCATGCACAGAAGTCTCTTGCATTCCTATACACTAATGATGAAAAATCTGAAAGAGAAATTAAGGAAACACTCCCATTTACCATTGCAACAAAGAGAATAAAATACCTAGAAATAAACGTACCTAAGGAGACAAAAGACCTGTATGCAGAAAACTATAGGACACTGATGAAAGAAATTAAAGACAATACAAAGAGATTGAGAGATAAACCATGTTCTTGGATTGGAAGAATCAACATTGTGAAAATGCCTATACTACACAAAGCAATCTACAGATTCAATGCAATCCCTATCAAACTACTAATGGCATTTTTCACAGAACTAGAACAAAAATTTTTACAATTTGTATGGAAACACAAAAGACCCCAAATAGCCAAAGCAATCTTGAGAAAGAAAAACAGAGCTGGAGGAATCAGGCTCCCTGACTTCAGACTATACTACAAAGCTACAGTAATCAAGACACTATGCTACTGGCACAAAAACAGAAATATAGTTCAATGGAACAGGATAGAAAGCCCAGAGATAAACCCACGCACATATGGTCACCTTTTCCTTGATAAAGGATACAAGAATATACAATGGAGAAAAGACAGCCTCTTCAATAAGTGGTGCTGGGAAAACTGGAGAGCTACATGTAAAAGAATGAAATTAGAACACTCCCTAACACCATACACAAAAATTAACTCAAAATGGATTAAAGACCTAAGTGTAAAGCCAGATACTATAAAATTCTTAGAGGAAAACATAGGCAGACACACTCTATGACATAAATCACAGCAAGATCCTTTTGACCCACCTCCTAGAGAAATGGAAATAGAAACCAAAATAAACAAATGGGACCCAATGAAACTTAAAAGCTTTTGCACAGCAAAGGAAACCATAAACAAGATGAAAAGACAACCCTCAGAATGGGAGAAAATATTTGCAAATGAAGCAACTGACAAAGGATTAATCTCCAAAATATACAAGCAGCTCTTGCAACTCAGTATCAAAAACAGCAAACAACCCAATCCAAAAATGGGCAGAAGACCTAAACAGACATTTCTCCAAAGAAGATATACAGATTGCCAACAAACACATGAAAGGATGTTCAACATCACTAGTCATTAGAGAAATGCAAATCAAAACCACAATGAGGTATCACCTCACACCACTCAGAATGGCCATCATCAAAAAAATCTACAAACAGTAAATGCTGGAGAGGGTGTGGAGAAAAGGGAACCCTCTTGCAGTGTTGGTGGGAATGTAAATTGATTCAGCCACTATGGGGAACACTATGGAGATTCCTTAAAAAACTAAAAATAGAACTACCATATGACCCAGCAATCCTACTGCTGGGCATATGCCCTAAGAAAACCACAATTCAAAAAGAGTCACGTAGGGGCTTCCCTGGTGGCGCAGTGGTTGAGAGTCCGCCTGCCAATGCAGGGGAACGTGGGTCCATGCCCCGGAGGATCCCACGTGCCGTGGAGCAGCTGGGCCCGTGGGCCATGGCCACTGGGCCTGCACGTCTGGAGCCTGTGCTCCGCGACGGGGGAGGCCACAGTGGTGAGAGGCCCGCATACCGCAAAAAAAAAAAAAAAAAAGTCACGTACCACAATGTTCATTGCAGCACTATTTCCAATAGCCAGGACATGGAAGCAACCTCTGTGTCCATCGACAGATGAATCGATAAAAAAGATGTGGTACATATATACAATGGAATATTCCTCAGCCATAAAAAGAAATGAAATTGAGTTATTTGTAGTGAGGTGGATGGACCTAGAGACTGTCATACAGAGTGAAGTAAGTCAGAGAGAGAAAAACAAATACCGTATGCTAACACACATATATGGAATCTAGAAAGAAAAAAAAAAGGTTCTGAAGAACCTAGGGGCAGGACAGGAATAAAGACACAGACACAGAGAATGAACCTGAGGACACAGGGAGGGGGAAGGGTAAGCTGGGACAAAGCGAGAGAGTGGCATGGACATATATACACTACCAAATGTAAAACAGATAGCTAGTGGGAAGCAGCTGCATAGCACAGGGAGATCAGCTCCATGCTTTGTGACCACCTAGAGGGGTGGGATAGGGAGGGTGGGAGGGAGACACAAGAAGGAGGAGATATGGGGATATATGTATATGTATAGCTGATTCAGTTTGTTCTACAGCAGAAACTAACACAACATTGTAAAGCAATTATACTCCAATAAAAATGTTTAAAAAAATAGTATACCCATTACATGTTAACATAACTAATAAATTGTTGTGAAAAATTACTGTACTTTCCCAAGCAAAAAATTATGGGGCAGAACAGCATTATTTAGCATTTTTTGCAAATGTCTAACATCCGGTTTAATAGAAGACAGCTGGATTCTCATATCTGCTTCTGCTTTGTTTTTTGTGATTCACTGTTTTTTTTAATAAATTTATTTAGTTTATTTATTAATTTTTGGCTTTGTCGGGTGTTCGTTGCTGCACGTGGGCTCTCTCTAGTTGCAGTGAGCAGGGCCTACTCTTTGTTGTGGTGCACGGGCTTCTTATTGCAGTGGCTTCTCTTGTGGTGGAGCACAAGCTCTTGGCGCATGGGCTTCAGTAGTTGTGGCACATGGGCTTCAGTAGTTGTGACACGAGGGCTCAGTAGTTGTGGCATCTTCCTGGTCCAAGGCTTGAACCCGTGTCCCCTGAATTGGCAGGCGGATTCTTAACCACTGCGCCACCAGGGAAGCCCGTGATTCATTGTTTTAGTTTAAGTATATAAAGAAAATCTGGCCTCACACAGATATGAGGCTGGAAAAGGAAGCATTTTAATAGTCACTTCTGATAATATGGATATTCTTTTTTTTTTTTTTTTGCAGTATGCGGGCCTCTCACTGTTGTGGCCTCTCCCGTTGCGGAGCACCGGCTCCGGACGCACAGGCTCAGCGGCCATGGATCACGGGCCCAGCCGCTCCGCCGCATGTGGGATCTTCCTGGACCGGGGCACGAACCCGTGTCCCCTGCATCGGCAGGCGGACTCTCAACCACTGCGCCACCAGGGAAGCCCACAGATATTCTTTTTTGATATGACACCGCAGCTTAACAAATGGTAGTTTCTTAAAGACTAGTTGCAATGAGAAGTCTGAAACCGTATCTTCTGTACTGTCGACACCAAAATGTATTGGTTTATCTTGCAGTTCGAATTGATCTTTTACCCATGCATGATTTTGTAACACCACGTATTGGTCAACTGGAAAATACTAGCTCATTAAGTTATACAACTGTTCCGAATGTGAAGTGGAAAACTCCACTGGATACTCCTGAACAATTAAGAGTAAAAATGACAAATAATATCTTTATATCACTGTAAAGATAGCTTTGGCCTTTGGTACTCCCTAGAGGGTGGGTGGCAGTCCCCACACCTACCGTGCGAACCACTGTCCTACGTTGGCTGCAGCTGACAGCTTCTGCAAACATAAAGGACCTTGAGAGTGCCATTTTACGGCAAAATAACTCAATTGGATGAACCTTAAGTTAAACATAAAACGTATTTCAAGATTGTGAACACGCTTCAGGAATAAAGAAAAGCCTGAAGAAAATAAAAGTCACTTTATACTTTTGTTTTCTAGAAATAAATGTGTTAATATTTTGGCCCACTGTCACCTCTCCTTAAGGGCAGAGACTGTGTTTTATTGATCTACAAATTTCGGAGTTAGCATACTGCCTGGCCCTTATGAGCACTCAAAAAGAATTTTTCTTTTTTAAAAGTATACCGTACATAGTTTTGTAGCCTATCCTTTTCATTTAGCCTCAGAGTTGGTCAGTTTCCCCATATGCGTTCTATAACTACTGCATAACATTAAAGTTTTCAAGCTCAAACTCACTTTAAAATCCGTGACTTTGCTTTGGCAAGGAGTAAAAATTTTGCAAGGGAAAAAAATTTAAACGACATGGGTCCAGCAGGACTCCAGGGAAGAAGTTTGGGGAGCAGGGTCGCTCCGCCACAGACTCACCGCGCCTGGGACACGTGGACACAGGCCACCGCGGCGGGGAGGGGTGAGGGTCCAGGGACCATGGCACTTGGCGCTTTTTCGGGGGCTTTCGCGCGGGACCGACATGTGAAAAGAGGGGGGGCAGCTGGACGGCCCCGCTCCTCACGACAGGGAGGGTCTTCCAGCTCCAGCTCCCCTTTCCTCGGAGGAGCTGCCTCTCCTGCACTTGTCTGGGCACCGGAACTCGAGACAGTTCTGTCAACAGCCAGCCGGGGAGCCAGCTCCCGGGACGGCCCAGAAAGACTGAGCATGCGTAGAACGCACCCGGCGTGCAGTCCTGGGAGAGGTTAAAGGTCGCGAGGTACATCACCGCGCCGGCATTGCAGAGGAATTAGCTGCTTTGGTGGCTCCACAGGGCGAGTGGCGGCGCTAAAGCACTAGTGTGCGGCTCCCAGGAGTTACACCCGCTCCTCCCACGCCCTCCCGCTCCTTTTCCAAGGCTCCCCGCGGCTGTCGGAAAAACCCGGAGAGGCGGACCACTTTCGCTTCGCACGCACTTCCCTTCCCCGGCCGGAAGGGAAGTGGGGGCAGGGAAGCATCGCACGCGCCGTTCGCAGGCGGCCCCTGGAGTGGAGTCGAGTTGCTGGTTTCGTCGGCCCGGCCGGAGTGCGCCTGCGCGGTCCCCGCTTCCCTCCACCTCCGCTTCCCCTCCCCCTGTCCCCCGCGGGGCCTCTGGGTCCGGCTGGACCATGTTCACCAGCACCGGTTCCAGTGGGCTTTGTGAGTACCGGACGCCGCCATCCTGGCTGGCCCCTACACACCACACTGGGTACCTCTTTGAGGAGGCTGGGGGCAGCGGGGACTCTCGGGGTTGCAGGCGGTTTGGGGGTCGATCTGCCGTCCCTGTGCCGGAACGTTGGTAGTTCTAGCCCGTTGCGGGGCAGCGGACACCGCCCCCATTTCAGCCTGGAGGGGTCAGTGGGGACTGAGTCAGCCCCCAGCCCCCCACCTGTGAGCCCCAGGTGCGATGCTCAGATGCTCCTGGGGCTGCTGTAGGTGGGCTGGGCAGTTAGGGTCGGGCTGGGTTGCCCTGGTCTTATGGCCCGGCCCCCTGCCCTCAGCGGCAGGTTTGCCAGCTAGAAAGAAGAGGCTGTCCGGGTGGAAGCGATGCTGGAAGCCTGCTCCCTTCCCAGTCACCTTGCTCCATTCATTTAGGCTACAGAGGGACCGAACTGGCTCTCCCCCCGATGCAAATTCCAACCTCTGCTTCAGGAGCTGACCCCTTAGTTTTACTTGGATTTTTTTTTTCTCCTCAGTCTCTCTTAGGAGTTTTTAGACAAACAAAAACTGATTAAAGTACTTGAAAGTGGAAGGAAGTTTGGAACTGGTTTGGCAGGAAAGCAGAGACATTGCTGCTGGATGTTGCTAAATTTTACTGGAGTGTCAGCTGTGGAGTGTCAGCAGATAGAGGGCAGAGAAATATATATAGCCTTTTTTTTTTCTTTTTTTTTTTTGCGGTACGCGGGCCTCTCACTGCTGTGGCCTCTCCCGTTGTGGAGCACAGGCTCTGGACGCACAGGCTCAGCGGCCATGGCTCACGGGCCCAGCCGCTCCACGGCATGTGGGATCTTCCCGGACCGGGGCACGAACCCGTGTCCCCTGCATCGGCAGGTAGACTCTCAACCACTGCACCACCAGGGAAGCCCTATATAGCCTTTTAAACGACTTCCTTTTTCTCATTGAAATGGCTTAATTGACTTTTGATAAGGTGGACTGTATGTTAACAGCGCTGAGATTAGGCACTGATACAGCAACAGTGAATTGTTTGAATAGCTATAATTTTTGCAATTGCTTGTCACTGTTAACGCTTCATATCTCTATACATGTGAAGTTAATCTTACTGAGTACAGAGGCCATTGACATTTCCAAATATTAATGATCTGTTGTGAATGTTAGGAATCTTTTTCTGAGAATACATATCTTAGCCTGGGAGTAAGTTAGTATCAGGGCAACAGGCATAATTATAAATCTTCCTCACTTTTCAACTCCTCAGGTTCTGAAGTGGGTTTAATATTTGTGATTTCCCTTGTTTCATACTTAATTTGATTTATGGCGTCTTTCAGGCATTGGCCTCAGAGTATGTTACAACTACTAGGTAATTAATCTTCCCCAAACTACCCTTTAGAAGAACATGACTGTTGAAACTGATAGTCAAAAGGTGGTGTGATTTTCCTGGCATCTGTGAGCCATACACTGGTGGATATGAAATTAATGGTAGAATTCTTCAATTTTATTTGTTTTCTTTCATCATTTTGACCTATCCTTCCTTGCTGACCAAAACACATTAAAGAATTAAAAAGGCAAGCAAAATCTGTTACTGGTTACTATGCTGTATTAGCTATTATGTTGGCAAAGTGTATTCAGATTTGATACAGGGTGACTCTGGGGAAGGTAGTAATATGTGATTACCTGTGGCACATGGTTGATGAGTATTGAATTCTAGGAGCCAAACTGCTACCCAGGGAGAGGCCTAGGCCAAAGGCTCCTCCTTAGGTGTCTTGCCCTTTTTCTAAAATAAATGTATCCACAGCATAAGAATTGATGGAATGGCCATTCCTCAGAAGTCCATGTCTTATATGCTCATTTAACAAACATTTTGAGCATCTCGGAAACTGCGAGGGGCTGGGAATGCGACGTTAGACAAGTCTTGGTCCCAGTGTTTGCAGAGCTTACAGTGGTGTTTAGGCACTGGTTTTCCAAGACTGGTCTTTCGGCAAGTCTGGGTGGGAAAATTTACCTTGCTTTGAAGTTTTTCTTTGCAGTGCGCCCCACTGAGAGGGAAGTGATTTCCTTTAGATAAGTTGTGTAGCCCTTTGGTAACTCAGAGTTCTGATCCTGAGTAAGTGTCCCGAGGATGAATAATCTGCCTAGCAGTGCCCGCAGGGATGCTGAATAACGTTCTCTTTTTAAGGGAAAAATCCTGGCCATTTCCTACCACTGGCGTATTTCCCACATCTGTGACTAGTAGATAGTGTATTTGTGTTATACTTGCTTTCCTCCCTCTCTCACTCATTCATTTATTTATTCAACAAGTGTCTGTTTACTACCCACATAAGCCACACACTGTTCGTGTATAGAGGATAAAGTGGTACACAGGATGGAGACCAACATCCAATAAGTAAGTTATGTGTTTTCACATAGTGATAAGCGTCGTGAAGAAAATCTGAGGGTAGTGGCATAGACCGCGGTTATGGAGGACTTTAGCAGGACGCTAAAAGAATGCTAAGGATGCTGCTTTAGCAGGTGTGGTCAGCGAAGATGTTTGGGAAGGTGACCCAAATGGCGTGAAGGAACCCACCTGTCAGTTTTTGTTGAAAAGTGTGCATCTTGCAGAAAGAGAGCAGCAAGCACAAAGACTCTCAAACAGGCACAGCAGGGCGTTTTCAAGGTATTGAAGAAAGCTGGTGCTGCCAGGGCAGTAAATCAAGAGAAGGGCATTTGCGACCATGTCTACGAAACTGTATTGCTCTCTGCCCTGTCAGGTAATTATGACTGGATAAAAGTGCATAGGAATCGTGTTCATGCCTTATTTTAGACCCTTGCTTAGAGACGAATGCTACCACTCAATTACGTGTTGAATAACAGATGTATCATTTCTTGCATTTGTTAGTAAGTGTTCCCATGACTTATTCACTTCACAGTGTATTCAGTCTAACATGGACTCAACCAACATTAATTGTGTGTCTGTTGTATTCTAGGTATAGGTCCCACCCTCAAGGAGTTCTGTGTCTAGTGGGGGAAAACTTAAAAAAAAAATGAAACAGCTTCTGTACTGGGTGCTGCGGGTTTATGGCAGCCGTGGGCTGGGCAGGGGAGGGGCATGGTTAAGACTTCCAGTGTGGGCGCTATCTCAGCTGATGTTGAGGGATGAGTAAGAGTTTTGTCAGGCATGCAAGTGGGGGGAGAGCCTCTATGAGGGACAGAGCCTGGGCAGGGCCTGGCCGAGAGGCAGGAGGTGATGAGGGGATTGTTGCTTACAGCTGAAGGGAGCAGTTTCTGCACAGAGGTGTGCAGTGACGTCATTCAGAGGGCCGGTGAGTCGAGAGCTGGGGATGGAACATGAAGTGGGAGAAGAGGAGGCGTGGCAACAGCTGCCCCTGTTCAGGAGCACAGCCAGGACCAGATGGTAGGGCAGAGTCCGGGGAGCAGAAGAAGGTGAAAATCTAATAGAACGCTAGTCGGAAAGGCTTCACGTTGCTGTGGCAGGCAAGACAGATTATTGTTGCGGATGTGAGCAGTGTTTTCCATATGCTGCCTGTGGTATGGCCACACAAAAGCAGCTGTGGAGCTTTCTGAATGTCCAGATTCCTGGGTCCCATTCCCAGAGAGTCAGATCCAGAAGGGCTAATGTTGGAATCAGAAATCTGAATTTTTAAAACATCGAGGGAGAGCTTCTAATGGACAGACTTAGGTCAAGCAACAGGGTGGCCAGCAGGAGGGGCCCAGAGAACAGTTAGAGTCCAGTGGGAGATGCTGACAGCCCCAGTGAAAGTGGTAGCAGTGCGAATGGACAGGATAGAAAAGAGGGATTCTAAAGATGTGCAGGCACGTAGGCTGTGTCAGTCAAGCCCATTGGACTGGGGGGGAGAGAGAGGAGTTGAAGGTGACTTGGGGTAGACAGGTGGTGTTACTGTTCACAGAGGCAGGGGGCGTAGAGAGGGAGGAGCTCATCTGGGGAAAGATGTTTAATGTCCAGGGGGTTGTAAAGTCCAGTGGGAGATACCCAGGGGCCATCTGGAGAGAGGGAGCTGGCCTGGCCATGGGTTGTTAGGTGGGAGTTACGCTGTGGATGTGAATGAGGATGCTGGAAGCAGCGAGTAGAGCCAGAAGGCTGAGGACAGAACTTTAAGCAACTCCAGTCCAGTATGTACTGCGTGGTGGAGAAAGAGCAGACAGCAAAGTAGGCAGAAGTGGGTGTTCCTTTAGGAGAGAGCTGTCTCCACCCAAACTAATTTGATTCGTCCTCTTCCCTCGTAAACAAACTCCTGCAGTCGCACTCTTTCACGGTGACTCTGATCACCAGACTCTTGATCCCCTTGTTTCCAGTTTACAGCCCATTTCTGGCATCTTCCACATCCAGTCTGGAGACCATAGTTAATCACCCCCATTGCATTCCCATCAAGACCCTCGGCTGTCCTGCTCTCTCTCCCAGCAAAACGCCAGCCTTGTATTAATGTGTGGTGTCCGATCCAAGCTGAGTCCTCGGCACGATTGCTCAGTTACATTTCTTGGATTTGGTTGTCTCCCTGTGCACTTCCCCTGTCATGGTCAAGAGTGTTCCCACTCTTAACCCAAGTTAAATATAAGGGCCATCACCTGGGCACGTCCTCTCGCTAACTTGTTTGTATCCCCACTTTAACAGTTGTTAGAGGAGACTTCCTAATGTAGGCGATGTTTGAGCTGATTTTTGAGGGATGAGTAAGGGTTTTCAGGCATGTGAACTTAGTTCCTTGTTTTCCAATCTAAAAGAATGAGGCCCACTCTCCACCTATTCTTAACTCATTCCTTGCTGCCTTTTCTAGTGACACTCCCTCCTTCTCTCTTTGCCTGGCATGCATTGAAGCTCATGCTTTTTCCTGTGGCTCTTCAGAGACCCCCAGAGTACTTCAGATCCCTTATCTCTGGAAAGGATATAATATTATTCCCTATTTTATTGGGTGGTTTGTGAAGATTAAAAGATTTACTATGTGTAAACTCCTAGAGTTTTGCCATAGTAAGTA